GTTACACTTTTGGTCAGCAGTGCTATGTCCTGGAGGGCCTAAGCCTGCAGTGAAACTCATCCTATGCTTTGTGAGCTTAATGGCCTGGAAAATGAGAAACAATGCCCATGCCTCAGGGAGCTGAGGGGGGTCAGGGAACTCAGGGGGGTCAGGGAGCTCAGGGGGGTCAGGAAAGGCTGAAACTGGCGATGCCCCCCAGGGTCTTGGCTGGTTACGGAAGTGACCGATACAAGGTTGTAAGGAGAGATGTTATGAGTTCAGCTTTAGACAAGCTTAGTTTGTTGCATCTGAGGAACACCTAGGAGGTGATGCATCCAGAGCTGAGAAGTTACAGATTTTGGAGATGTCACTAAATAGTGGCATCTGAAACTTTGGGCGTGGCTCAGAGCACTCAAAGGGAAGGAATGTAGAATGAGAAAATAGGAGGGTTGAGGACAGAAGGTCTGGAAACACTGTGATTTAGGGGCTGGCAGAAGAGGAGCCAGCCAAGAAACAGAACAGGACAGAGGGAACAGGACAGAAGAGAATAGCAAGGCCACGCGGAGAATGGGCAGCAGGGTGGGCATTATTAAATGTCACATAGAAGACTGAGCAGACGAGGAGTGGAAATGGCCCTGCAGGAAAATCACAGCAGATCTATTAATTAAAAATACCAACAGGTCTGTCCTGGCTGGGGAGATCTCAGGTAGCGGATTTTCGCCTTTCACCTTTCCTGTTGAACCATGGGCAAGTCATGATTAATTCACAAGTATCTGGGTGCCCATGTGCTGGGCACTGTGCTAAGGATAAAACAACTTGAGGATGGCTCTGTTTTTCACAAGAAGGAATGGCAGCTGGTTCGACAAGGGGAGTGTTAGGGCTCCTGGGGCATGGTAGCAGGAGGGGCCGCAGGAAAAGCAGTTTGGTGCCAGGTCATAACAGACTTTTTATGTCTTGTCAAGTAATGTGGACTTTATTGAGGGGCGGGACTAGGACTGGAATTGCGCCTTCTCTAAAGTTATTTTCTACTTAACTTGGACAGTTAGTGTGGCTGCTAGCCTGGAGGGGTCCTAGCTAGGAGACAGGGAGGAGGGCCACTGCAATAACTGAAGGAAGCCAGGCGGGGGATGGAGAAAGCTCCAGCTCCAGAGATGTCTGGGAGTAGAATCAACAGGTCAACAGGATACTAAGGATTCCAAGTACAGCAGGTCCTTGAATAACATCATTTGGTTCAATGTTGTTTCATTGTAACATTGATGAGATGCAGCAGGAACTTAACCCTTGTTTATATCGATTAGCCTCGGATAAAATTGGTTTTATACATTTATTTTTATTTTTTAAATTTTTATTTATTGATTTGAGAAAGAGAGAGGGAGAGAGAGAGAGAGAGAGAGAGAGAGAGAGAGAGAAATTGATGTTGTTCTACTTTATTATGCTTTTCATTGGCTGCTTCTTGCATGTGCCCTGACTGGAGAAGGGACTGGCAACTTTGGCATATCAGGAGGATGCTCCAAGCACCCGGCCTGGGCCTTGTAAGTACTTTCATTTAAACCCTCAGAACCCGATGACGATGATGTTCCTGAGGACTTATTATATGTTGGGGAAAGAAGACATCAAGAATGACTACTGGGTTTTTAATATGGCCCGTGGGTAGGTAGAATAACAACTATCCTGCAGTTTGTATAGTGTCTCTAACTGCCTGGAGTGGTCACTGCTTCATGAAGTAAACAAGTGAATGGCTGTGTCAGGTAGGATTGTAGGAAAGGGGATAAGACATATGTATGTGAGATCTATTTCTGAGATGCCCACAAAACAGAATCCTGAGCCCTCATCTGTCTCCTCACGGCATCTGCATATTTGGGCACTTTTCTTTTTCTAGTCCATAATAGGATTCAATACTTCTGTGACAAAGGGGTGTTGGAGTTACGAGTTTAGAAAGGGTTTTACATCTAAATAGCTGTGGCCTCCCAGGAAAGGACTCTTCTCTGGGTAAAGAAGTTGGGGAGAAGCTTGATGAAACTTCAAGTGGGGAAGAAACAGGCACAATTGATGAGACTCCATGTTTTTGAAACAAGGGACCAAGGCCCAGTAGGTCCCAAGTGAATTGTGTTAGTTGAGCTGACAGATCTTACCGTGACAGGTGCTACTTTTATTCCTCCATTCTCCCCACTGTACAGCACCGAACACCGAGCCCTCAGTTTAAACAACGTGACCAAGGATGCCCAGCTAGTAAACTAAGGAGGCCTCGCTGGACACTAGCTCAAGTACCACCGTATAAAGCCTCTTTCCTGGGCCAGCCTCGACCAAGACATTTTTGAGCGAAATGGTGCGTATGCCCTTCCGCAGTGGGTAAGTTCTGTCACAGGCCATCACTCAGTCTGGGAGCTGCTACTGCTGACCTGCCAGGGGAAGGCCTGCCTTATCGCCCGGGAGGAAAACAGCGCCAGGTGGTGTCACAGATGGCAGCAGCCCCTCAACTGGCGACACCCTCAGCCACTGATAAGGGCTCAAATACGGGCCCAGGACGCCAGTCACTCGGCCCAGTTCTTGCATTAACACCTAAGCAATGCCGTCTTGTCAGTTAAATTGTTCCTTTGAGTGGACAGTGTTACAAAGTGCCTTAATATTCATTCTGAGAAGAGCGGGTCTAAACCCCCCTACACCTGCTTCCCTAACTGGATGGGTGGCAGGAGCCCCTTGGCCTCCCAGGACGCCCTCCTCCCTCCTTCCCAACCTCCAGGTGGCCCTGAGGATGGAGCTTCGGGTCCCTGCTCTCCTCTCCTCCAGCCACTGGCTTCTGCCTGACCCCAGGCGCGCCCCACCCCACCGCACTCGGGTGTTCGCGGGGCGAGCGTGAGCGCCCCCGGGGTGTGAACAACAGACTCACGAGCAGCCGCTTGTTGCTCTCGCTGCCGCGACGTGGGGAAGTGAAAATGAAATAGACTTTTCGAGAAATGATGAAAGCAGCGCTGCCTGCCAATGAACGGCGGCGGCGGCGAACTT